ATTTCTTTTATGAAAAATCAGCAAAAGTTAATAAATAGAATGAAAGGGGACCCCCGATGATATTACTGATCCCAGGGCTGGGCTGGCTCTCGATGCTCCTGGGCATTGCACCCACTTTTGGAAAGTCAAGTATCTGCTATATCCGAATATTAGTAACATATAATGGTAACATATTTCAATTAGGAGTTATGAGCAATCACAGGGTTTCAGAGCGGTTGCACCACCTTACTAGCAATGGTCATATACACAAATTTATTATCAAATTACGAGTTCTTTCTTCATTCTCTGTTTCAGGTTGGAGGTCTTATTCTCGATCTTCTAATCTGGCAAAAAGCTATTACTACTTCTATCACTACTGTTTTTGAATGCCACCACAGCATTTTTGGGCTTGATCAATGGACTTGCCTTAATAAGAACTGCCAAAAAGTCCATCATGATCACATCTACAGCAGCTCACAGGTTGCAATTTAAACATCTCAGAAACTTCCATATGCTAGTAATTGGAAGAACGATGATGACTGATGAGAAGATTCCAAAGAGTAGCAAAATTCCAGTCACAGTCAGCAGGGTTCAGAGCTATCTGCTGAAGATTTATTGGGCTCTGGTTTGAAAAACAGATGTAAAAATGGCCAAAGAAGAAGGCCCACATAGCAGACATGTTGGTTACACAAGAAGAATTGTGTTTAACTATGGGATTTCTGCTGATGATGTGGCCAGTCATAATTGTCATTTTTGTCTAATTTGGAAGCTGTCTAAATTCTGTTTAAGTTTCACCAAAATCTGATAAATCATAGATTTTTTTATGTACAAGGTGTCTCTGGTTGAGGGAGATATCCTGTGTTAAAAGTAGAGATTAAGAAATGATTAACTTACCAATGATGTTGAAAGTATAGATGTACATACAAAACACCATTTACAATGATGTTTGCAACACTTACAGGTAAAAAAACTGGTTGGTCACAGCAGGTTCCCAACAATTAGAAATCTGGATTTGATCTCCATCAAGCATTTGTATATGATGACATGCTACTAGTTACATTCCATTTGTTTAAAACTTAACCCCAAAACATTCAATCAAATGGTGATAAAGCAAAATGAATTGTTAGCTTTAAGAATTATTAGACATAGGTGTAGCTTAAAAAGTCATGATAAAATCAATAAGTAGATGATGTGTGTCAGATATAAAAGACTGTTTAGTGTAGGTAGTATTGTTAATTATTTTGTGTTTGTAATTCATTGATATTGAGTCTATAGAGATTTCTAGAAGGCCTAAGTGACATATAAACAGCTGCAACCAGATGAGCAGAAACAAAGTCAGAGTAAAAAGTAAAGTCGGTGAGAGAAAAGTTAGAAAATGAAAAGTTAACCATCGTAGGAGTGAAAGGCCTAACGGTTGATATGTTAAGAGTGAGATCAATAGTTTGAAATAGATAAGGAGAATAATTTATCTTGTCAAAGGGTGTTTTAAGCTAATTGAACCCACTTGTATGGACTTTGATGAAAATGCAGACAATTATTTGGAAGCACGAAAGTTATAATTTTCCTATACAAAAAATGTATTTCCAACAGGCACTTCCCTCCACTCACAAGATTAGCTATTCTCTTCCAGTACTGCCCTCTATATGCAAATTTTTTCTTATGCATGCCACAAGCCTTCTGCTCCCCCCTATTAGAATTGAATGATTCCAACATGTAAATCATCATGCGTCATTTCTCCACCAATAGGAGCGTGACATATGTAACTCCCTCTACATGCCTCTATCAAACTATCACTTCGATGTTTGGCAGAAAATGTAAGCACCAGAGGGAAGTTGGGAGGAAGGGTGGAAAGTACCTATCAGAACTACATTTTCAGTATAAGAAAATGATAACTTATGATACGATACTTCTCTCTTCTCACAAGATTACCCAGAATCCCACATTCATTACGAGACGGGACTGGTGCGAGGGAATGGCAATGAAATGTGTAGTAGGTAAGGGCAGAAAAAGGGAGGAGCACATCCAAGTGGGAGAGAACTGTGGCAGGATAATGATCCTAACCATGTAAATATATATGTAACTCAATCCCACCAAGTATAAAAGTGGGTAAAACAATGGATGTGCCCCAAAGTGTACAGAGGCTAGGGCACGACGGACCGTATTCGGTAAGTCAACTACATCCAAAAATCCATGCCACTGGGAACTGACATCCATGTGGGGGTAGGATGAGGTTCATACCATCTTCACCTCAAGTTCAGGAGACGGGAGGGAATCTGGAACCACTCCAACTCCTGAGAATGACCATGTATTAGCTTTAATCAATCAATCTGGGTACCAGACATCAGGTATCGAAAGGATGTCTATGTAATATAAATCAACTTCCCCAACAGTGAAACTGACCGAAACTATCCCAAATGCAATAACGTCCTCAGATTATGACACCACGAAAGACAGCAAAAAGGACAGAACTGGAACAATCACCCTTTTTCTTCACTATGACCCACAATACAGAAGGAATATGATCGAGGGAGGAAGATAGACACTCTAAACATGTGTAAGGACTTATGTTGATTGGTTTTACTCTAAATCCAAAATCCAGCTATGGTGTACGGACATCCACATGGGGGTAGGATGAGGTCTTGCAAGCAAAGGGGTGAACTGCACTTTGACATCTCACTCTCTTGTGAATGTATATTGCATATTGGAGGATATAACGCCATCTACACTTGCAGAATACCACCACCCTACTCTGTACTGAGTGGTTATAGCCATCTTTGTGTGGAACCTATTCAGGAGAGTGCCTCCACGGTCAACCATACCAGTAGCTTGGAACTGGAAAGTGGTAGGGATTCCCACACTTCACTAGAAGAAAGGGGATGAGAATGCAGTGGAGAGTCCAGGGGAACGTCATCACCTGAGACAGTGCAATGGGTGACCACAAAACCCTATTTTGAAAAGCAGACCATACCAAATTATTCACCCTATTTTGAAAAGCAGATCATACCAATATATTCAATGCAATGCATGGCAGGGATGGGCAGCTATCCTCTTCTGCTTTACCCATGCAGCCCATGGGTGGTATGGTCCAGAACGAGCAAGTTTATGAAGCAAGTACGATGAGGAGTTATTCACCTACAAGAGATCTTGTGGAACACCCCATCTCAACAGTGAGCATTGCGAAGGCATGGAAGAGAAAGCATGAGTCAACATGGCCATATAGTGTGGATTTCAAGTTAAAGAATACCTGGTCAGACACCACTCGACATAGAGCGGGATTCATATAATGAGGAAATGGGGCAAGGGTCCCAGAAAAAAAAAGAATGATATAAATTTACCCAGTCAAAGTTGCACTGAAATCTGAAGAATGGCCACTGGTGGAAGACAAAAACCTGATGAAGAAAAAACCATGATATGATGTAAATAATGGGAGATGAATGTATTAGTTGTAGTCCACATGCCTAACTGTAGGATTTCCTCCAATGGCCAATGAAGACAAGAGGTGAGGGAAAAGGTGAGGTGTCAAATCTGATGAGAAGACACCTGGAACAAATTCCTGGAGGAAGAAGACAAGGAGATAGAAGCCAATCAAATCAAAAGGTGATCTCAATTAGTGAAGGTAAAAGGGGAATCCTGGAACTGAGGAAGACTGCAAATGGATAAGAGCTGGGAACAGGTACTACGGAAAGAAGCCATGCAGACAAAATAAAAAGAAGAGTACGAACCAGACATAGAAATCTATCTGGATTGGGACAAGGGTAGAGATGAGAAATATAAGGAAAGGAATAAGCGAAAAGGAGGAGTTACCTTTCCTAGCCACCATGGTCTTTGGGAGGAAAGAGCTATCTGGATAAAAGAGAAATTGGTATGGTGGTAAAGTGTACGTGAAACATCCACAGCAAACAAATCAGGCCTTCAACATCCAAAGACTAAGAGAAGAATGAAATATGTTGTAAGGGAAAGGTGGAACTTGGAACACAAAGAAAGTGGTTCAAATGATGGTAAAGTAATGGAATGGAGAACTACCTTAATATCCCAGTTTGGAAGAGTAGGCCATCTTGGGGAATGACAAATCCAGAAGGAATACAGGAACATGGTAAGGACAAGCGAAGCAAAATCACAAAAACAAAAGGTAGGGATAAGGCAGTCCAAAAATCCAGAGAGCAAGGAGACTAAAAACACCTGATCGAAAAGACATGTGAGAAACTCACCACTTGAGCCATAGTAGGTCAGTCTGCGAGAAAGCCATGAGTCACAGACCAACTGCAGAACACATTCCATAGGTCCTGATACATCACCATTGAAAGGTTGATGAAGAAGAAAGAGAGACAAAGGAAGAGGTACAGGAAAGAAAAGTTGCAGTTGTTGGAATCGTGGAACTGGCCAATAAGGAGCAATCAGAAGGACTTGATACAGAGTGGTACAGTGAAGAGAGATCATGAGGGAATTGAAAGACCACTATGTAGGATATATAATGTTGAGGCAAGAATGACTATCCGCTATGAGATGGAAAGCACCCAGAACGTGATATGCAAAGAGATGAATGTGGTGCATGTAGGTCCAATATAGTAGATCCAATGTTTGAAAACAGAGAGATCTTGACTGGGTATCCCCTTGGAGATTGATATGTGCTACCACCATAGTACAGTCAGAAAGAATCATCACTAGACATTGTCTGGTGAGAGGAAGGAAGTGATTCTAAGCCCGATAGACTGCAAAAAAGCTCATGGACGTTGATATGCATGGACCTTTTGTCTTCATACCAGTGACCCAAAGCCTCCTGGTGATCGACCCATGCACCCCAGCCCTGAATGGATGCATTCATGAAACGATGTAAATCAAGACGAGGAGGAGGAGGAAGGGGGACACCCACTGACAAATGGGACTTGTCCAACCAATGCAGATTGGCCATCAGGTAGGAGAAAGGGTAACAGGAGCTGATAGGAGATCACAAGCAAGATTCCATTGATCATGAAGAGCCTACTGAAGGGATTGCATATGCGCATGACCGAGAGAGGCCAGTGTCATCATTAATGACCACATCCCCCCAAAACAATAGAAACTCACAAGCAGAAGTGAGGGAGCTGAAAGGCATGGCAAACTAACAGTTCCTTGGAAGAAGTTGTAGAGGAGAGGGGTGGGCCCGAGTGAGATGAGTGTCGAAAGGAACACCCAGGTGGATGAGATATTGGGGAGGTCGGAGGAAGGACTTCTCCAAATTGATGAATCAGTCCACCCAAGCAGCAACTAGAAGGAGCTGGCGAGTATGGCTGGCCAACTCCGATTCGGAAGGAGCCAGAAGATGTCAGTCATCCATAAAATGGTGTAATTGTAAACTCAGAGCTTGAATATGGTAAGCTAAGATCTGACCACCTGACATAAGAGTTGGAAGTATGCCCGAAAGGTAGGGTGCAAAAGTGATGAACCACCCCTTGATCAGATGAATGTAAGATACAGACAAGACTGTGGTGATAGAGGGATGTGGAGATAAGCATTGGTGATGTCCATCCTGGTCATCCATAAGCCCAGAGAATTGCCCATCCTATGGTAAAACAGGGCAGTTGAATGAAGCAATTGAGGGGGAGAATTCAATGACAGGCTTCCAATCCCCAATGCACTTGGGAACAACAGAAAGTCTGGAACAAGAAATATGGTGAAGCATGTAGAACAGGTATGATGGCCTGTAGAGATAGTAGTTCCAGAACAGCGACAGATGCTGGCTGGTCATGGGATCCCAAGGTGGAGGAAAGAAACGGGTATAGGAGACACGGGAAGTGGGAAAACGACTGGATCAGAAATGCTTCTGAGAAAACTTGAAGAACCCAAAGATTCATGATGAAAGGGTGCCAGTGAAAACAAAAACTAGTAAGCCGAGCTCCCATCAGACTAGAACCCATTGGGTAGTCACCAATACCGTTGGTGATGTGACATGTCATCAAAGGAACAATGAGACGAAGCACTCTGAGGAGAAGGGACAGGTGCTCTATAGAGCTCCAACACTGAAAAATGGGCAACAAGGTTGGAAAGGGTAGATTACTGCTGTATTGATGCAACCCATGATTCCAAAAACTCAGGAATCGTGTTAAAGATGTAGTGCCACAAATATGGGGCCTATACATAAATCCCTAAGATAAGATGATAGTAAATAGATGCGAGTTCAGGTTGCAGTATGACCTAGAAGGTCCCAACAACAGAGAAACCACATATGTAAAGCTAGAGGCAAAAACGACAAAATGAGCCAATGTGGAAGAAGTCCCCAGAAAACCACTCAGAATTTCTGTGGGGAGCCTCAGAGAGGAGACAAAAGTGGGAAATTGGGCATGGGTAAGACATACAGGAGATTCAGGGGCCATACCCCCAAACAGGCAAAATGAACTTAACAATTGCCAGTCCAGAAAAAGGTTAGTCTGCATGATGATATGCAAAAACAAACTGATCCGAAGCCTGTGAGGGGTGAGGCGTACCAATCCCACCACAGAATTGTGAGGCATTGAGTCAACATTAACCAGAATATCCAGAGAGGGGGGAACCCAACAGGGATGGCATGATTGGTCAGGTGGTAAGGAAGGATGCAGGTCATAGGAAATATGGGAAAGGGATAAAACGTCACATACCTGAGAAACTAAATAAAAAAAAAGGTATTAGGCCTCACTGAATTCTCAGGCAATGTGAATGTAATATACTGGGATTAAAGTTGAAGTTAAGAAACAGTTTTAATAAAACTAGAAGTGAAAATAAATGAAGACCACCTTTTAAGTATACTAAAAATGACTGGGAACAAGTGCTGCCAAATAGTTCGGTAGAGGCATATAGAGGGAGTCACATGAGCATGTCACACTCCTATTGGTGGAGAAGTGATGCATGATGATTTATATGAGAGACATGTTAGAATCATTCAATTCCAATAGAGAAAGAGCAGAAGGCTTGTGGCATACTTAAAGAAAACATTTAAATAAAAATTTGCATATTGAGGGCAGCAATGGACAAAAATAGTTAATCTTGTAACCAGAAGGAAGTACCATATCAGAAAATCAGACAATTATTGGAAGTTCAAGATACAACTGTGGTAACTCATGTGAAAGTTTAAGTGAATTATATATGGATACTATTGCAATAAATATAGTGAAAAATAATTTGGATTGTCAACTGAATTCTAAAGCAACTGAATTGTCCTAAGTGAACTTTTGACAAGAAGAATAGAACTGTATAGTTAAGATACGACTATAATTTGCATAGTGTAAAGAATGTTATGTATACATTTAATTTGTTTCGAATATAAATATTGTTACGACAGCGGAAGTCACGCGACGCTGGAGTTTCTAGAAGGATTGTGACTTAGCGGGCAGCCTCACGAATGTCCCAGCATTTGCTAGACACCCTCTTTTTTAGTATATAAGCTGCAGATAGATTGAAGAGAGATAATTGAGCCAAGCGAGCAGTAGGCACCGTAAGTAAAGTGTGTGAATCGCTGTGAATGATAGCGTGTGTTTATAAAAGTACTTAAGTTTAAAGTAACTGTGGAAATTAAGTGTATTACAAAGTTTGTAACAAGAAAGAATAAACTAGTTTTAATTAAGAAAAGACTTGTATCACTGAAGTTTCTTGGAAAGAACTTTTATGGGAAATCATCAAACAAGCAGATACATGACAATATTATTTTAAAAACATGTGGAATGAGTACTGGTCTTTATTATCGAATTTATTGCCAACAAGTTACAGACACCTACTGTAAAAGAATCCTTAGCCAAACACACCTATATACTTACATTACTACATACTATTAAAAAGTAAGTTTCAGACAGTGGGTTTGTTTACTTGATGAAGAAAGCATAACCTCAAATTATAGGAAGACACAAATAAATCAGAAACTAGCACTTCAAATGTGTAGTGCATCCAAACTTATCTCTTTCAAACTGAAAAACAACCAAATCTTCCTAAACAAAAACTGATCAAACACAGCAAGATGAAGAGATGACCAACAAACAGCTGGTACAACCACATAACAAAATATAGGCCTAATTACAATATGTGTGTAGAAAATCCTGCCTTTTAAATGTACACCAAACTTAACAGCCTCTCACAGGAAAAACAACAATAGATAAATAGTGATAAGTATAAAACACTTAAGGTTTAAACAGAAATCAATAAACAAACAAAAAAATTCAAGAGAAGCACCATCTACAACATACAAAAACATACACTTATGACAAACACAGAACAGCACAACCAACTCAACAAACAGTAACACCATAGCTTTACACATGATGACATTATACATCAATATTTAAACTCTAACCTTCAGTAATGATGAGATTTTACCTGAACATCTGAATGAAACATTCATTAAAGGAATTGCTTCCCAAGGATGTGGAAGATCAAGAAACATAGCATCAGCAATGTCTTCCAGACCAAAACCTTCAGCACAAACATCTCGCTGTTGGACTGTTACAATGTCACCAAGTCCATGTTCTTGGAATTCCTCTCTAGCTAAGCTCACCCTCTGCTCATGAAAATCAAATGTGTACAGTTGACCAGTTGGAGCAATAGTCCTGGCCAGAGCATGGGACAATGAACCACTGCCAGTACCTACCAAAACAATAATCAAATGTTTACATATAAAAATTACATGTCAAATATATATTTATTAATATGCTTTTTAATGATCAGAATAAATAAATTATTGTAAACTTGTATGTAGTCAAGTGTTTCTGTCAGATGTCCGGTATCCAACAAATAACCAAATATTCAGCTACCTGATAATATATATATATATATAAATAAATAGGTAAATAACTCAATGACTATCGATTACAATTATTGCTAATAGGCGATTTAGATCAGCACTATTAAACAGTAAAGAATTTACAATCACTTAATGCATCTACTTTCGCTTCCGGTCAGTCATCCATGGTCATAAATGGGTGAAGCTTGTGGTAATAGCATCCAAAAAGTGTTGGGGATATCCCATCTATCAAACAAATTTCAAAATGCTGAAGTTAAACAAGTTGACCATCATGGAAAATCAAAACAAAGGTGTAGAGGTTAGTGCTTAAACCCACAACATCTAACATCCTACTGCCTTTCGTTGACTGTACCCATAAAGTTATTAAAGTATTAAAAGTAGAAACAGAACCACCCAAAGCTGCTACACTCTAGAACTCCCAACCACCACACACTTATCTAAGTCTTAACAAAAAAGAAAGAAACATACATTATTCAAATATGACACAGGAATGCTGAGGCAAACTGAGAAGTTGGTTTTTCCAGTCCTGGTATACTGAATAAAAAAACTGGTTTTATAACTAAATTAGTTATTCAAGGTCACACTTGATAGACTAACAACTTCTAAGTAAGGAGTTTTACATAACTGAAAGTTTATTATTTAAAAGTGAAAGTAGATGCATTAAATATTTGTAAATTCTTTATTGCTTAATAGTGCTGATTTAAATTGCCTATTAGCAATAACTGTAATTGATAGTCATTGCGCTATTTATTTATTTATTTACATTAATGGAAAATGATTTAAAAACTACTGAATTTATCACCCTTTTCTTGTTTTCTAATTATCATTTCTTCTTTGCTGTATACTGACTAATAGTCTGGCTAGCTATTTGTCAGTTTTTGAACAGGTTACTCATATTCAAATAAAATTTACTTGCAACAGTTCTAGATGCTTAACTTGTCTGGCCATCATGGATTTTCAAAAAGATCATGTAATATTTCCATGTGTATGTTGATACTATAGTTGGGCCTGTAGTGTTTACAACTGTCAGGTACTTGCTTTTTAGTTTGTATATATAGTAAGTAAATGTATGGGTGTTTTGGGCTAAGGATTCTTCTTGTTGATGATAAATTCAAAAAGATAAAGGAACAGCACACACTACATTTGTTTTCAAAACAATATATATATATATATATATATTCAGAACAAGTTAAAAGTATGTACAAAAATTCATCATACTAATGGACGTCATTAGTATGATTTTTAACAATATATAGTTCTCTTCTTCTTGTCAAAACTCCACTTAGGCCTATTCAATTGCTTTAGAATTCAGTTGAGAAGCCAAACTATTTTTCTCTATTTCTATCACCTGACTATCCATGTATAGTTCACTTACGTTGTTGTTGAGTTACCGCAGTTGTATCCTGTACTTCAAAAATCATCTGTTCCTTTTTCATATTTCAAAGAAATCGTCTGCCTTTTGTCAAAGTCCATTCAAGCTAGTTCAATTACTTTAGAACACCCTTTGACAAAACAACTTATTCTCCTTATCTCTTACGAAATTGTTAATCTCACTCTAACACATCAATTGTTAGGCCTTTCACTCCCATGGTGATTAACTTAGCATTTAACTTTTCTCTAACTGATCTTCTTCTTCCTGTGACTTTACTCTCTTCTGCTCCCTTTTTTTTTTTCGCACTTACTTATACTCCGTAGAATTTACAGTGTTTCGACACAACTAACTTACTAAGTCGCCTTACAACGTAAGTTATAGTAATT